AGTTGGGAAAAATGCCATTTTATGGTTCGAGAGGGGATTGTGCTCCGGCACAAGACCTCCAAGCAGGGGATTGAGGTGGGGTATGAAGAACCCTAGTTCCTTTTGTTAGGGATCTTGATTGTAATGACTTTTGGAGTGATATACTGTTTGATTATAATCAATTTAAGTGTGTTTATTGAGTCAATTGAATCCTGATCAACTTCTTTTGAGTTATGTTGCAACCTGAGATAGATAGAATTTGATTAGGTTGTTAGAGCTTCTTCAATTGATAGGAGCGGATTGATTATACGAGAGTTAGTCAATCCATTGCTTTGTACTGGAATCCAATTCCAGTAGTGGAGTTATGTGATAACTACCTTAGCTTTCTATCCCGGTGAAGACTAGTCGTCTGCTGGTTAGTCTGTCTAAGAGGGCTTGGTTAGCTTAAGAGATTCCAACTACTGTCGGATCTTCCGCAGTTTAATCAACAGTAAATCAACCAAAGGAAATTTCAACTTGGACCTAACTAAGGAGCTAGGGGCACTCATTCCCGAGTGACTCTTCTCTTGCTTTAGAAAACCGAACACTTTCCTGTTTTCTTACTGCTTTTGTTTACAATTACTCTCACTAAACTTAGTCGTGCTAGATAATAGATAGTCACGGAGTAGGCAGTAGATCTAGACCATGGTTGATAAATTAAACTTACCACTATTCTACATTTCCGGACTGCGATTATACTTGGTCGTACTTTGGTGTTGTGTCATAGCGTGTCAAGTACCTTATGTGAAATGGTTTGCTTGGGGACAAGCAAACGTCTAAGTGTGGGGGAGTGATTTGGGTCCAAGTGTACACATTTTGCCCCTCATTTCTTGATATTTTGACTTTGCATTTCATCGTTCCTCGACATATTTCACGCTAGGTTGTGCTTGTTTTGATACATTTCAGGTCCTAGCACGTGTGGAAGGGTCGAGGTCGAATTTTGGGATAATTGGAGGTCAAAAAGCGCAAAACCGAAGAAGTGTGTCTAGAAGTTCAACAGAATAAAATTTCTAACTACCTAATTGGGGACTTTCCCTCTAAATCAATCTCCGGTTCATTGCCCACTCTTCCTCTTTCTTTAGATTCCTTCTTTTATCCCCTCTTGCATGTCTTGCCTCTGTTACATTGGCTTTACTCTCTTGGTCGACATTTCAATTAAGTGAATTCAATGAATATAAACAGCAAAATTGGCGACGAATGAGATAATTAATCGAATTCAATGAATAAAAGCAGGAAAAGTGGTGGCGGATGAGATAATTAAGTGAATCCAAAAGTGAAAAATCGACGACGGATGAGACGAGATATACGAAGGTCAGTGGATAAGAAGAAGAAGAAGAAGAAGAAGAAGAAGAAGAAGAAGAAGAAGAAGTGGCGCCATTGTTGAATGACGAAGAAGGGGTTGCTTTTGTAAGAAACAACTGGGAGAAATTGAGGAGGAGTAAGGAAGAAAAGAGAGGAAGGACAGAGGGACAGATTTGAGGGAAAAGAAACAAAACGTGGTAATGTCAAATTACTAAGGGGAGGGATGGTATTCTAAATTACCTTGAATGTGGTAATTGAAGCCAATTCCCATACCCTTTTTGCTCTCTCAAATGTCGGTATTTAACTTAATTACTGCATTATGTGATAATTGGGTCCAATTACTGCATTACATTTTCACATCTAAACGACTCCACGTAGAACTTATGTAGGGATAATCATTTATTATTTATCACTTAAGCAAACTTATGACATATGTTATTTATGTAGGTATCTTATTTAAATAATTTTGTACATTATTTGATTTCAACTAAATTATTAATTTCTTACTGTGGCGGAGAGCGGGCCAAAAGTACAATTTATTAGCCAAAGTTTCCGAATATCGCTCCCTACCTACTCTGGATTTCGAGGTGATTTGGTTACAATCACTTCTCATCAAGCTAGGTCAATCTTTACCCGACTCTCTGATTCTTTGTGTGACAACCTCGGTCCAAATTGTCGCCAGACTGTGACAATTGCCCCGTAGCAGAGAAGTGCAGGCGTCCAGGAAGCAGCCGCAGTTCACGGTCAAACAAGGAAGTTCACGGTCTCTTAAGATCGTGAACTGGAACCACAAACCGTGAACATCGAAAAGTCCAACGAGGTTTTCAGAGGTTACTGACACCAAGGGAGTTCACGGTCACTAAGACCGTGAACTGGGGCCAGTAACCGTGAACCCAGGAGAGTGAAGCAGCGCATTTTAGAGACAACACTGAGTTCACGGACGCGTTTAGGTGTTCACGACCGTGAACTGGTCACTTTCGGGCAAATATGAAGACAACAGCGGGGAGAGAGAAAGGGAGCTTCATTTTAGGTTAGGTTTTCATTTTTCGGAATAAAGAAGATTCTAGTGAGAGGTTAGGGTTTCTTCTAGAGTGAGAAAGTGCAAATCAAAGGAGGAAGAAGGAGCTTTGGGCTTGTTCCTAGCTAGAGTATTGTAGATTTCTTCATCTTGAGGGTGTCTCAAGCAACAAGGAGGAAAGATTGACATCACTTCATGGTTATTTCTTCCCTTTTTTTGTTGTTTTCTCTTGTTTAGCTATGGAATAGCCTACATACTCACTTGGGTTTTGTGAATCTTAGTTTTTCTATGTGTTAGGATGTAATAACATGAACCTTTTATGTTGAGTGTTTTATATAATATTTGAGGTATTATTCATGAATGATTGAGTGTGCTAGCTTTAACTCAATATTGGGTGGAAATCCCCTCTTGGTCCAATTAGGAGCTAGACTCCTTAGCCACTTGGGTAACCTCCTTTAGGTCAATTTAAGACCAAAATCTCAAATATCGGAGTAGGGTCGTGATTCCACCGGGATAGCTCTCTCCACCGGCCGTATTAAGTTCTGTCCTGAGGGTTTGGTTTGCCATCCTTAGCTAGCTAGTTGAGAGGGTTAGGTTTCCCAGCCCATCGTTGTCACCCTTAGCCGGAAGGTTAAGTGAGTTAGCTTTCTAACTGTTGCAACGATTCTCAATTAGCTAACTAAGAGAGAGTTAGGGATCTCCTTGGTTGATCGATAAAGAGGGCTAGACTCTCTAGCTATGAATCACAATTCATCACCTAACGGTTAAGAGAGCTAGTTCCCCTAGCTTACATTTGTTGATTTTCCTTCATTGATCGACTAAGGGAGTTTGTCCCTAGCTAGTTGCGTCCACCTCGCGGTGTATGAACACGTCCTTCACACTAGAGCTTTGTTTGTCGCTTCTTAGCATGAGACTAGGGGGAGCAATACCCAGGTGAAGTGATCTCAAGTAGAATTCTCCTTCATTTACTTTCCTTGCTTGTTTTCATTTGTAATTTTCATAGTTTTGAACCCAAAATCATTTTGCTAGATAACAAGTTAAGCGATTGAAGTTTGGTACATGGACCGGCCCAGGTTTGACAATTAAATGCTTGGCCTATATTGCACCCGGCTAGAGTTTAAGAACTTGGGCTCTAGTTGGGATTAATTTGTGGTGTAGTTTCGTGCGAGTCACCTACCTAACTCACAATCCTGTCTTTCACAATCTCATTTCATTTTGTTCGCGATCGCATCAACAAAGGCCAGCTACGAGTCAATTATATTCCACCCTCTAATCAACTGGCCACCGTCCTCACTAAACAACTCTCACGGATTCCTTTCAATAATTTTTACTCCAAGTCGCACCTCTCTGAGGCTTCAATTGCGGGGGCGTGATGAATAACAAACCTTTCACCTACGTCCATCTCAGTTTGTGTTACCGTGTGTACATGTCTCTGTTTATTTCTGTTTTTAAACTCCGGAACCTTGGATGTTGTAGTTTGAAATTTGTACTATAAAGAATATTACATTCATCAATAATAGACACGGTTCAATAATATTGTCTAAAATAATATTTATCTAAAAAATAATAGACACGATTCAAATGATTCTATACTAGCGTTTTTAGACTTGATATGACCGTTAGAGGCCTAGATGCGTGAAGCCGCTTATGTTGAGTGCAAATGGTACTTGTTTAGATTAATATGCGCATTGCAGCAAGAGATAAGCTAAACTTATAATCTTTTGCTCAAAGCGTGTAACAACGTACATACTGAGATAACTTACTTCAATTACGATTTGTCCTCGCGCATTTCCACTCTGTTGCACCGTATTTGTGTCAATACATTTCCTCCTACTTTACTCGTGATTTTTTATTCTCGCAATATTTATGAAATATATGTTGACATTTACATCGTGAATAAATGAAGTTGTAGAAATACGAAACAAAAAGATGTAGGAATCCAGAGAAGAAAGACCACTTTTTTGCACTTGGCTATTTCTGTCGAACAGAGGGTTATATATAAAAATGGCTAAATTGCAAGTTTGGTCACTCGAATTGCTACAAAATTTCACGTTTGGTCACTCGAATTCGTTTATTTCATTCGTAGTCACTTAAATTAGTTGAACAGTCCAAGTTCGGTCACTCTCCGTTAACCTCCGTCAGACTCCGTTAGTGCCGTCGGTTAACTTTTGACGTGGCTAACAGAAATGCCTAGTCACCCAATTTTAACCCAAGAAAAAACAAAAATTGACCCTCCACGTCAGAAAAACATGTCACCTCATATAAACACAACCCAACCCACCCAACCTAAATTAAACCATTAACCCACCCAAAAATCGAACTCGTAACCCATCCACCATTCTTCTTCCTCTATACCCTGCTTCTGCCGCCGCCGGGGAGATTTCCCCTCGATCTCCCTGCTGCAGCCCCCGCCGCCGGATCCAGATTGAGATCACTAATGAACTTCTCCGCCTGGACCGACGGGAAATTGGACTCGGCCATGGACGCGAAGTCGATCGCAGCCCCGGACAAGGCGACCAGCGACAGAACGAGGAACGCTCTCAACGGAAACGATGTAGCTTTCGACATTTCTAATTTCTCCTGTGAATTTTTTTATGTCGATAGCAAGGTAAGCAGCAGGACCTTAACGAAGAAAGAAGAGAAGGGAGAGTTCACTTACTTCTTATAAGAGTAGTGGGGAATCGCGACGATGAGAGTGAGAGAGATGGGATAAGATAGAGTGACGGGCAGTTGTTGGCGGGGATATTTTTATAGGGCGGACGTGGAGAGGTGGGATCCAGATTTCCGGGTCGAAGTCGAAGGCGTCGTAGGTCGCGGAGGCGAACTCGTCGTACTTGAGGATCTCGCAGCGGAGGGTTGGGTCGATTGGGTCGAGGAGGCCGTCCCAATCGTCGATTCCGTGGAGCTCGCGCCACCACCCGGAGATGTCCCGCTTGGGGGACAGTGTGGGAGTCATGTGGTCGCCCCAATCGATGAAATCGAAGGCCGTGTAGGGAACCTCGAGGAGTCGTGCCAGTGATTTGTGCGGGCGGCTGCTGTTCCTCTTGTCGGCGACGGTTTGGGGATTATTGGATCCGTTGGCAGGGGCTGCAGCAGGGAGATCGAGGGGAAATCCCCCTGGCGGCGGCGAAAGCAGGTAGCCAGGTATAGAGGAAGAAGAAAGGTGAATGGGTCACGGGTTCGATTAGTGGGTGGGTTAATGGTTTTTTTAGGTTGGGTAGGTTGGGTTGTGTTTATATGAGGTGGCATGTTTTTCAGACGTGGCGAGTCAATTTTTGTTTTTTCTTGGGTTAAAATTGGGTGACTAGGCATCTCTGTTAGACACGTCAGCAGTTAACTGATGGCACTAACGGAGTCTGACGGAGGTTAACGGAGAGTGACCAAATTTGAACTGTTCAACTAATTTAAGTGACTACGAATGGAATAAACGAATTCGAGTGACCAAACGTGAAATTTTGTAGCAATTCGAGTGACCAAACTTGTAATTTAGCCATATAAAAATAAAAAACATACACAGATTCGTCACTCAATCTTACACAACCGTAATTCTTTCATCATACAAGTAAGTATTCAGTAACCAAGCAAACAACATTAGAAAAAGAAAACACAAAGCCTAGTCTTTCGGGGAGGTGAAATCAGAAGCAGAGATGGGTCGTTGTCTTGTAACTCTCGCCCCCCGGAAACTCTTTTCTTTCAGTGCCTCCGGAGAGCAACAGCGGAGAGAATAACCAGCACCACGAACATAAGCACGGCCACAAACCCGGCCACCACCGCCCCGCTCACCTTCTGGCAGAAGTCGCCGAACTGCTGACATATTGCCAGCCAGTTGGTGTTGTTGTTGCCGTTGTGCGCCAAGTACACAATGGCCGCCGCCGCTGCCGATGCCGCCGTGTTCAGAGTCAGCGCCACCTATACAAATTAAATTAGACGGTAAGTAAGCTCAATTTTGACTCTATATAGTGAAGGAATCAAGTTGGTTGGTGGTGGGTGCCCTTACGATGTCGAGAACGAGGAGGAGGAAGCGTGGAGCCGCAGCTTGCGGGCGAACGATGCAGACAATTGAGAATGGCAGGGAAAGCACCAGGTACCCACCAACGATCCCCATTGCTATTACGAAAAACCTGCATTGAGATGACATAAGATCTTAAGGCATTGTATTGTATTGTATTGTAGCGTTATTGATCAGATGAGCTGGTTACGAACGTACTGAAACGTAGGGAGGTCGTCGTAGCTGGCTTGGAACTGGAAGAACTGAGTGAAGAAAGGCAGGGTTTCATCACTGGTTCCCATGGTGGCAGCTGCTGCGAGGGCGGATATGAGAGCTGCGAGCCTCAGGAGGAAGTCAAAGATGGCGACGCCTCTGTGGTAGCCACCTGCTTTCCCACCATGCTTGGCTGCTGCAATGATCGAGGCTTTCCCTCTTGGAACTGAGCTTGATTCAGGTACATCGATGGTGGTGGCTGCTTCTTTCGTCGACATGGCTGGCTGGGATTGATTTGGAGGCTGTAGGAGAAAGGGCTTTGATTTGTACTTGTGTTGATGGGAATGGAGGGGGGGAAGGAGTGGAAGAATTTATAGGAGGAAGTTGAAATGGTGAGTGTATTCAGAGAGGGCTGGAAAGGGGAGTTGTTGGTTTTGCTTTCTTGCCACAGTTTGTTTCTTTCTGTTGAGTGGTTGCTCCTACTTCAGAAACAGAGCAATGCAATATGTGGGATAACAACTCCTATTCATCTTGTCTTGGATTTGGTACCAAGAATACTGATTGGTCTCTTTCACTCTCCACCACCTATTATCCATAAAAAAAAAAAAAAAAAAGAGACTAGCAACTGATTCATGGATGGCTTATTATATATCCAAAAATATGTATTTCGATATTTGTTACATGCAGCACTGAAGAAGAGACTTTGGTGTAGGCTGTGCAACTCTTCATGCCATACAGAAGCATCAAGTCCTGACATTTCAAATCCTAGTTATTTTCATTACCTTCGGAAATAAATTAATCACTGCGAATTCAAACACAAAGTTTCCTACATTCTCACGCTGCCGATTGAAGGGTTAGCACAGAACTGCCATGAAATACGTACCACATGTTTTCCAGGAGGCTCCCCTGGTGTTGTGTTATCCACCTCTGGAGAAACCAAGGGAACTTGCTTCTGAGCTTCAGGAGTCAAGGGGTACTACTCATGTCGAGGAGTAATCACAAAAATCAAACCTATTAAGATGTGTTATTGGATAAATCTGTGACAAGACCGTAAGTTCCAACATCAGACCATTAGGACCAAAGATATCAACAATGATCCATCCCAGCCAATCATAAACTCATACCCAACCCAATGCTGTGATAATTTAACCAGAAGAAAAGTTCAAACGTACTTGGGAAATGAATTTCGAGCCATGGCTGCAATCTGCTTCGAGTATATTTTGAGAGTCCTACAAATACCCAAAATGCCACTTTCTCTGATCAATACTCATCAGTCATCAGTAACTCACCACACAAGAGAAAACACAGGGAGAAGTTCGGACTTCATGAAAGCACCAGCTCTGGAAGATGACGATCCGGCGTATCAGGTAATCAACTTTCCTGTGCAGCCAATGGAGCCAGCCGCTGATCCATCCAGTTGGCCTCGTGACTCTCTAGAATGAATGAACGGAACGAATTTCAAAACAGAAGCCATTGATTCTTCCCGTGATTGAACAAATTTCAAGCAATTTGATAAAAGCTTAGAGGTTCATGCGTATAGAAAATCGCAGGAGAAGAGTCCGAGAGCTCAAACCAACCCATAACAAAGGAAGTTTGGAGTGATAAAACCTAGCTCACTTCTCTTTCTCATTAGCTTCACTGCCATTTTATAGGCAGAACAAACAAGGAAGAAGATGACAAACATCATACATTTGTTTTGTAGCTTGGAATGGAAACTATCACAGACTTGTTATGAAAGAAAATACAACAACCAATTGGGAAAGAACGACTACGTATTGACGAAAGTTCATTACAGCAAACGACATCGCAGCGAAGCATCTTCGACTTGATTCAGAACGACAGCGCAGTGGGAAAGACTGGAAACGGCAGCGTTGCAAAGAGTCCCAAAATGAGGATAGAACGACGTCGCAGAGAAGATGACCGTTGAAATTGATTTTCAATCTGTTACCCCCCCCCCCCCCGGGGCAAGCTGGTGGACAGAGATTTCGCTCACTAAGCTTGAAGAGCAACGTGGTGAATGGCGCTGGGGATAGTGGTTTGGTGAATAGATCTGTCAGCTGATGAGAAGAGGAGATGTGAAGAAGTTTGAGGGTACCGGCTTTGAGCTTTTCTCTGACGAAGTGGCAGTCCAACTCTATGTGCTTCGTTCTTTCATGGAAAGTTGGGTTTTTTTGCTATGTAAATGGCACTTTGGTTGTCACAATAGAGGGCAGCAGGAAGGGATGTAGAGACTTGGAAATCTTGCAGGAGGTATTGAAGCCACTGGATTACAGAAGCAGTGAATGCAAGAGCGCGATACTCAGCCTCACAGGAGGATCGAGACATGGTATGTTGCTTCTTGCTTTTCCATGATATGAGAGAATCACCAAGATATATGCAAAAACCAGTAGTTGATCGCTTTGTATCCACACACGCAGCCCAGTCTGAATCTGTGAAAGCTATCAATTGAAAGGAGCCCTTGGAGGGGAAGAACAGACCTGATGCTGGGGCAGATTTGAGGTATCTCAGAGCCCTTAGAACAGCCTTGTAGTGAATTGTAGATGGAGAGGTCGTGAATTGGCTTAGCTGCTGTGTAGCAAAGCTAATGTCTGGATGAGTGGTTGTCAAGTAGATTAGTTTGCCCACTAATGTTATGTAGTGTTCTGGATCCTCGTATGGAATGCCCTCATCATTGCTGAGATGTAACTTGTAGTCCATTGGTTTAGTGACAGGCTTTGAATCAATAACATTTGCTTCCTCAAGAATTTCCAATTTATACTTTCTTTGTGAGAGATGAATGCCAGAATTGCTCCTTGCTACTTCAATGCCTAAAAAATATCTCAAGTTGCCAAGATCTTTGATGCTGAATTCTTTGTGTAACAGCTCTTTCAATGCTTGAATTTCTGATAAGTCATTGCCTCCTAGAACCAGATCATCTGCATGTATGAGAATACTGGTGTAGGTAGACGATGTGACCTTGTAGAACAGGGAATGGTCTGCTTTGCTTTGTATGTATCCAACTTGATGAAGCTTGTCTGTAAGTTTGGAGAACCACTGTTTGGAAGCTTGTTTCAGTCCATAAAGTGATTTTTTGAGTCGACAAACTGGGTTTGATATGCCTGGAGGAGGAGTAAAGCCTTGAGGGAGTGTCATGTAGACTTCTTCTTGTAATTCACCATTAAGGAATGCATTATCCATATCTAGTTGATGGATATGCCAGTTTCTCAGGGCTGCAATAGCAAGGAAAGTCCTGACAGTGGTCATTTTGATGACTGGGGCAAATGTGTCTTGAAAATCAATGCCTTCTTGTTGTTTGTTGCCTTTTGCAACCAATCTTGCTTTGTGTCTTTCGAGGGATCCATCAGAAAGGAACTTGTCCTTGTAAATCCATTTGTTTCCATTGGTTTCTTGCCTGGTGGTAGTGAAACCACATCCTAGGTTTGGTTTTTGATCAAAGCCTGAATTTATTGTTGCATAGCCTGATTCCAGACATCATGTTTAGAGGCTTCTTTGTAGTTTTTTGGTTCTTGGTGACTGGAAATGCTTAGTAAGAATCTGTTGAATGGGAGTGAAGGATTGTTGTAGGATAGGATTGAGGAAAGAGAATACATGTTGTTAGGGGTGGTAAATGGTAATCCGGTAAACGGTTTATTGTTTTACCGAACCGGTAACCGGCAGCCAAGCGGGAAGTTGGGGGAGTCGGTTTACCGGACACGGTATCGGTAAATACACCGACGGTAAAGCGGTAATACCGATACAGAAATCCCCCCTCCCTACTCCACTAACATATAACATATACATCATTATTCACAAATATAAAATATTACATACATGAATGTAAGTAAGTATAGGCCTCAAAAATATTGTAAATAAGAGTTAATAATAAATTATTAATTACAAAAATGATGAAAAGAACTCAAAAAAATCAAAATATTACAACATCACCCCACTTCCAGAAATTTGGTTCGAATATTCGGTAAACCGACCGAAAAACCGCCTGAAATCGCTTTTCACGGTATTTCGGTAATACCGGTTTGTAACCGTTTACAGGTAATTCGGTAATCGGTAAATCGGTTACATACCGGTATCGGTAATCGGTAACCAATTTGACCAACTTCGGTATACCGAAACCGGTAAATTCGGTAAACAATTTATCATTTACCGACCGAATCCCACCCCTACATGTTGTCTTGGATCTGGTGCAGATTGGAGTGATTGATGCTACTAGGACCTTGAGATAGAAAACAATGGTAGTTCTTGACAACATGTGGAGGGGGTTTTGATGTTCTGCCAGAACGTTTGACAGGAGGTTGGGGGGGGGGGGTGGTGGTGGTGGTGGTGGTGGTGAAGGGGATACAGGAAATGGAGGTGGGGTGAAAGATGGAGAGGAAGAGGGAGTTGAAGTTGATGAAGAGGGGTGGTTAGTACCATCAGTTGATGCAGAGGGTACTACATTGTGAGGTATAGGAGTAGAGGTTGTGTCATGAATCAGAAGAGAATTAGGGGAAGGAAGGTGGGAATAGAATGTCTAGATCAGAGGGTGAAGGGTCTGGTTCAGGATTTGATTGAAAAGGAAAGTGAGATTCATAGAAAATGACATCTCTAGAGGTATAAGTTTCATGAGTTGATAAGTCATAGAGCTTGTATCCTTTAATACTAGGAGTGTAACCAATGAAGATGTATTTCCTGATCTGGGTTGCAATTTGGTTCTGTGGTTGGCCAGTGTGCTGGCATAACACAGACAACCAAAGACTCTCAAGTCAGTGAGGTCTGGGGGTTTGTTGTAAAGAGTTTGGAAAGGAGTTTTGTTTGAAAGAACAGGGGTTGGGACTCTATTTATTAGGTGTACTGCATGTTTGACACAGTCACCCCAGAAGGCAGGTGGTAAGTTTGCTTGGAATTGAAGGGCTCTAGCAACAGCAAGGATGTGTTGGTGTTTCCTTTCCACCTTGCTGTTCTGTTGAGGGGTTTCAACACAGGACATCTTATATGATCCAAATCCGAAGAGCACCCTCGAACTCGGATTATAGGACCAAAGTACGCAGCCTTCCTTCTTTTTAAGGATTTTTGAAGCTTTTCTTGAATACGAAAAATAAAGATAGATGTGGAATCAATCGGACAATCCCAACTCGTGACAAAGGGCAATTAGTATATTAAACCAATCGGACAGAATCAACTCGTGGAAAGGGGCAATTGATATAGGATAGATGCTCGCCACAACTAGACGTATTCTCTAGTTGATAAGAGACACGTACAATCTCCTGGAATCCTCGACAGAAGTCTTGCACAAAAGAACACGTTCGCAATGAACTTGAACTCAACTTTGATTGATAACTTGAATATTGGGTACCAAATTCGTAGGTCTTACACCCTCTATTAATAGAGGTCTCAAAAACATAAAACTAACCTAAAAAGAATAGGAAAACAAATCCCAAACTAACTAGGAAACATAATACTACTTAAATAAAGACTAAAACTACTAAATAACTCTCAAAACACTGCTGGCCGCTCTCCTTCTCCTTTGAGGAATGTAAATTTCGGTTGATTGCTGGTGGCGGAAACCTCTTCACGTGCTCTTCCTTTCAGAATTAATAATCATCTTTAATCCTTGCAAAGCAAACTTCCAATGTACTTTTTGCTTCTCTCCACTAAATAATCACAAATCCATCCATGCCCTGCATTCTTCTCTTTGTGAAGAAGAGACACGTCTACTTCCATTTGGCAAGCTTCCATAAACGTGATCCAACCAACCATTAATTCCATGCACTATAATTCTGTTCAATTATTCCGCCATGCATCATCATGTTAGCTTTACACGAGCAGCAGCTATAATCGTTCTCTTACCCATTAAAAATGCTCCCAATTGATCCTTATATCGTTGAATCTGAATCTTCATTTTTGGACCACGGGAATTAAATATCGTGTTAGTCGATGTCGCATCAACATCTCATGGAGAATGCCTGTTGAGTTAAATAATTCTTCCATTTGAAATTCTTTGCCTTGGTCACTCCTAATGGTTTTGATGGTGGACTGAAATTGTCTTTGCATCTGGTTGCAGAATGCAATGAGTTTTGGCCTTGCTTTTGATTTTAAATGAACCAGGTCATTCTTGTGTAGTCATCAACCACAGTTAAGAAATATTTGTATCCATCATAAAAGGGGAGGAAGTTAGGACCCCAAATGTCAACATGTAACAGTTCAAAAGGAAACTGTGTTACAGATTGGCTGATAGGAAAGGAAAGTCGTTTTTGCTTGGCAAAATGACAAACATGATCCTTCTGTGTTGTAATGGAGGTACAAAATTGGTTGAGAAGGGGAATTTTAGAGTGGGATACATGTCCTAGTCTAAAATGCCACAAATCAAAAGTGGATGTATAGGCACCAGAAATCAACTTAGGAGGATGTGATGCTTGAAGGTAATAGAGTCCATTGTGAAGGCTAGCAGAACCCATCACTCTCTTCTGCTCCAAATCCTGTATAAGACAAGTGGTAGATTGAAAGGATAAGCTTAGTGGTGTTGTGGAGGTGACTCTGCTCACAGACAGGAGGTTGAAGGTGAAATGGGGAACAAACAGGGCATTGTGTAGGGTCAAGGCATCATGTCATTTGGTTGTGCCAGTGTGAGTTGCCTGTATTTGAGCAACAGT